CGAATGAGCCAAATTCTCCCGGCGATGCTCTCTTGTACAGAGCGGTTGTTGTTGAAATTGTTATTCGTAGATAAAAATTTGTTTATCAAAGGATAATCCACCCTGCAGCGGTCGGTATTATGTCAGCTAGCCCATAACAAAGTTATGGTTTTTGCCGTTTTTTCAGAACTGCTATAACTCGTGAGTTCGTTGAAACGCTCAACTGTTTTTCAACAGAATCTCCTACCCTCAATGTCACTCTGTTAAGTGAATCATGTCATTCAGCTCTGTACAAAAGCAGCCCAGTTATCTACGATGTTTCAAATGTCGTGTATTAGGATGTTTTTCTTGCAAGGAATAACTTTTCATGCTTCTTTGGTATCTCCAATTATCATGAAAAAGGTATTCATCTGAGTTTTTGCCAATTTTGCAACTTTTTCTTCACTGTAATTTATATCAGAATCTGCACATGAATGGTTAAAATGAAGCAATGTGAATGCTTGCATATATCCTGTATGTATTTACGGAAACAAACCAATTAATGGTAATTTGCATTTACCCTGAAACAGAAGGACGCTTGCAGTGCTGTGGTCATTGATGAAGTACATAAACAGTTATTGGTTCAACATCTCGACCTCAGTAAACTAGAATTCCATCCCTCCTCAATCTGACGACAAGAGAAACACCGATTTCATAGATCGATGCCTCCAGAAGACATTTTTAGATCACGAGTACATTCAATAAACTCTGCGGTGCTTAATGAAGTTGAATGTATGACGTCAGAGAATGATCGACGCCAAATGCTTTATCCCTTTTTTACCCTTTAATGAGGAATGCGAAAACGCTGTTGAGAAATTGCGCTGTTGTGTTCGTTCATCAAATAAAACTGGTTGAGCTGAAAGCTCTTGCGCTTATCCCATTCCACTCGACATCCATTTGAAATGCATAGATAATTAAGTGAGGATAGCTTACGTTCAAATTGCGTTGCTTTGCAGCTTTTATTTCAGTAGGTGGTGATAATTACTTCATTAAAACAGTGAGGAGAAAAACCTATGGTGTGTTGAATAAATGGCTTGGCAGTGGGCGACGGTCCATGTTCCATCTATCCGTCTCTGTCTTCGAAGTCTTGTTCGCGAAAAACTAATGATGAGTAGTTTTATTCCAATCATACATGATGGCTTATACTTTTCTATTTTTAAACTCTTGTTTTGTTTAAACTAGAACTTCTATATTAGTGCGGGAACACTAGGAACAATATTATGAGGGTTTAGTCCCACAAACAACACAAAGAATTTTCGTATTTTCGTAAAACTTGCTTCATACCTCATACCTCATAGCCTAGTACATAGTGTTCCGTGGAAAAAAGTTTACTATGTACATTTCTATTCATTATTGTGCAGCCGTTGGTGAATACCTTGTATTAGCTATCTTCACCATTTTAAAACCTGACCATTTCCCACACCATAGTCCTATTTCCTGCTTTCGAGTTCTCCTTATTCATCGACCTATTCAAAGATGTTTGAAGAACTTCACTGTTTAGATATAATCTCCTAAAAAAGCAGCAGTTACGTTAAAAGGTGTCTTTAATCTAAAATTTTATTGTGCCATAAAGACAAAAATTACTTATCTCATGCAGAAGTCCATGAAGATGAAGGAAAACACCTCCTAGTTTGAGTTTTTTCTTAAGTTTGTTCGAAAATACTTGATAACATCTGTTCTAGATATACAGTTATTACTATCCTATCTCGAAAACTACTCTGCCGTCCATTTTTATTACATTTTCACTATCTGAAGAAGATAGTTGAGAATGCACAAAAATGGAACAATACGAAAGATTTTCTAAGACATCCTGGATCGCAGTTGATGAACGTGTTTTCAAGGAAATTCTCCTCAGTAGACAATTGTTAATCTTTTCTGTAATCCTAACGTAATTGGTTCAACGATTCTACTTGATTGATGTGGATTTCCTTGTGGTTGCCGTCAAAATTAGAGCCGACATAAAGGAGCTTTATAGTAAACAATCGTACGTTAAAAGACTGAAGTTTTAATGAATTCCATGCAAAGCAAGAATATCGTGAGCGATAGAAATACGACGGATGGCTGACTGAAATCCTGAAAGATATTTGTCAATTTCACTCACCTAAAGCCGCCTACTCGAGCTCTTGCCCTGATGCAGCTGCTTTCAACGCTGTAAAATATGAGTGTAATTTTATATTGTATGTGTTGCAATTAGGGACATATGAGAAAGCAGTTGGAGAAGAAAGAAGGCTCCATTAAAAAGAAAGTTCTTCTGTAGATATCAATTAAGCCTGTATTTGCCTTTATCGTTTCTAGTAGGAGTTCGGCTCATTCTACAAATTTGGACAGCATCATATTTTTCTGTGGATTTTTTTTTGAAGATGTCTGACAATCAAGTTCCTATTCTTCTTTTCGTCAGCTTAAGCTTACCATTCCGTGCCAACATTCATAGGACCAAAATCCCGCCGGAAGTGTTAAAAATAATTCCGATAGAGTACGATTTCCCTTATCTGCGTAACAATAATGTTTACGAAACACGTCTCTTCAATTGAAAAGGAAAGTTTATCGCATTTACTGCCAAGTTTATGGGGTTTCATTGTACATTTTCATATATTCCCGCTATACAAGAATAAGTTGGTGTTTTTTCTTTAGTTATAATAACACAAAGAATGAACAATAAATTACTGCTGTTCGAAAAACAAGCCTATGTCCTAATGAACTTCTTCTTTTTTTCCCGAAGAATACGTTACAGCAATGCACTTGTTTACTGATGCTCGCAAAGCTCGCGATAAAAGATATTTCCCTTATTATTAATCAGCTTTACAACACATCGTTTATTTAGAAAAAAACAAAATGCTTTCTTCCATGAGAACCTTTCCTTCGGCTTCATATCACGAAGTTCGATTGGAGTACACAGCTTCTTGGAGGTGACCTCTCTTGCGGAAAAGAAATTTCATCAGTGGACTTACGAAAAATTATGACGCGTACTTCACAAATGTTGAAGTCAGAAAAGTATTATGACACGTATCTTAGTAGAAAAAGAACGAATTCCAAAAAAAAATAAGCCTCAAAATTTTCAATTTTTTGGGAGACTTTTTTTCTGAAGAGACAGCCGAGAACGACGTTGGGAAGCAACATCTCACATAAAAACAGTGGATGTCAGAAAAATTGACAATTACGGAAATTTTTTAAGAAACTGTATGTTTTCAATTCACTGGAGGTTTTAATGTCAGCTCATCAAAATTTTTCTGAGCGTTTGAACGTCATTCTAAGTTGGCTGTGGGACTCTACACACTAGTAGTTTGTTCTAAAGATGGGAAGCAGTAAAATCGAAGCAAAGCTGTGTAAAATATTGACAGACCACGGCAGGAGAAATCGTAAGTAAATTCGATAAACACTTTCTGAAAGCAAAACCTTTTCACAAGATAAGGATTTAAGTACGTGAGCCAAAAATTAAACTCACCTCCAAGCTAATGCATCTGTTTTCTGGAAATCTTCCGATGGTTTACTGAAGCGACATAGTGTTAACTAGAAGCCTTTAAAGATAAAAGGAAGTCATTGGTGAAACAAAATGTTTATACTCTCTAGCATCTTAAAGGTCTGATGAGGGTACAAATTTATTGCGACGATAATAATTTCCTAGGTTATCTGCACTCGTGCTGCGTTAACTGTGATCATTACCACTTTTACACCAAACTACTTTGTTGGCAGATGTTTAATGCGTTCGAATAGTGTCGTCGTCGTCGCAAATTTCTAGCAATTAACTGCCGAAATTGGCGCTTGAACACAGTTTTCACTACGGTGGTTGAAGATCTGAGACTGAAAACTTACAAAATCGACTTTCAGTTCGACTCTTTTCCGTTTCTTCAAAACGCTTGCGTCGAACCATTTCACTCGACCACATCCGAATAGGGTTGGACCTACCCCTATTGCCGCAACCTCCTCCACCTTCTTAGCTGCTACTCCTACTCGCTCGCATTCCTTAACGCGACGTTCACAACCATTTGAAATCATGAAGCACTGGCAGGCTTAATTAATTCGCCTCATATGAAATTCGTAAAAGATGATGATGAGATTCTCTAACGCTCAAAACGGTTTTCACCGACGAATCGTTAATACTTTCTAGGAAGAGCCGCGTTTTTTTTTTCGGAATTGTTTTTTGACGTCGTTCTACCATCTGGATCATTGAACTTTTTTTGCATGTTCAAATACTCTCGAATCCCTTCCGTCCTCAAATTCTAAAGTTCAGCATTGATGTGTACTTCATTTGTTTTTCTACCGTCTGAGATAAAGCTTAGTAAAGAGGTGTGATTCAGTGTTCAAAACACTAAACATAATGGTCACTTTTCAACCGTTGTAAAATAACTCACACAACAATCTTTAAAGGTTTTAATCTTGACTCCCAACAAACTTCTCTTGTTTTAAATAACCACTACTCAAAGCTTACTTCTTGTTTCGTCAATGTAGAGTGAAACTCGGGCTGAATAGTATACAGATAGACGTTGCGATATTTCGTTTTCTTACGTTTTAGGAATTAGAAAAAAAGGTGTCATGCAAATCACATCCTTGAAAAATGCGCTCCTTGAAACGAAAGACTATTTTCGGCTGTCATCTTCCCATATTAGATTGGGCAGTTCATGAATCCTCTTTGAGTATCTGTTGTCGTCGACATGCCATTAGATTCTTCCGCATACACTTCAACGCACTGGTTAAGTCTTCCTCAGGAAATCGGCAGTGTTCTCAAATGTAATTGAGTTCATAGCTTTTGGAGTTGCGATGGAGTTAATTTTAAAGACACCTGACTAGTAGTTCCTCAAGTCGGTCGCAAGTTGATTAGTAACATTAATTGCGAATCGACATCGAGTCCACTTTAAGAACCACGCTGCATTATTATTTAATTCGCACTTTCTGCAAAAGCAGAGACTCGAATATCGGCTCGTCTACCTCACTTTTTGAAATAAAATTGATGCCTTGATATTTTGAATTTTAAAGCATTTCAGAGCATGGGATTGTGCTCTTCGAAGAAAAAGCCGACACCGGAATTGTCTGATGATGAAGTGGCAGCCATCAGGGAGGTGTGGATAAGGTGTGGAAGTTCTTCTTACAATGGAAAAAACTAGAAATTGACATTTTATCCAGAAACTTGAATAATAACTAGAAAATTAGTACTATTAGTCGCCTCTGTTTTGGGAGAACTCCGGCCACAAGCCAGCAGAACTTTCTCGATCCACAACCTCATTGCTGCTATTTTGGTGGCGAAAAAATGGGGACTCCCTAGCACTGGTTATACGGGTATTCAAAGGAAAACCTTCGCAAAACCCCGGTCACATATTGGTTAAATGAAGGCCGAACTAAGGCGCATACGATGTTTCGAGAAGACGGGTAGGAGTTCAGGTGTTCGACTGCTCAAGCACATGTGAATTACTGCCTAGCAGTGAGGAAGCGCAAAGATAATTCGATACACTTCCTCCATAATCAATAGTATCAAGACCGTCATAAATTAAAAGAATCAGTCTTCGCTGTATAATTAATCGATTTTATTTTCTTCCAGAGCAAAAAACAACAACGTCGGTAAGAAGATTCTTCAGACGTTAATCGAAAAGCGTCCGAAATTCGCCGAATATTTTGGCATACAAAGTGAATCACTTGATATAAGAGCGTTAAACCAAAGCAAGGAATTTCATTTACAGGTGCGAGGTTTATTTTGAAAATATTCTACTGCTTTGGAAGCAAAACGCTCAAATTCGTGCTGAATTTGACAGAGCAGCACTTAAACGCTTTCAGTGTCGTCAACCCACTGCTTCTTGGGTTATAAAGAACTTCTTCATGAAGATGTTGTAAAACCTTTAAGCTTTGTAAGAGGAATTGTTTTTAAAGGCAAGAAAAAATGACTGACAAATGACGTTTCAGAGTCCTTTAAAATTCAAAATGAGAATTGCGAAATTGAAATAGGAAACAGATAGCAAATGGACACATTGCGCCTCAAAAGCTTTTAAAATTCAGAATGAAAAGCTTATTCATATTTGAAGCGATAGCGTAAAGCTCACTAGGCAACACTTCTAGGAACCATATTTTTTTCGAATTTTCACTCCAGTAACTTCAACTCAATCTGATATCGATCAATAATTTAGAGCTGAATTGCAACTCGTGTTCCGTTTGAATAATAGTTGACATGACCTTTTCTGAACATTTATGATAAACTAACGAAAAAATTGCACAGGTTAGCGTAGTGGTAGCAATGCTATTCAACGTCAGCAAGGCTTTCTTTTGACTATTCCTGAAGCCAGACAGGCTCTTCTTCTCTGTGGGTGATGAAATTGGCACCGGAATTCTCTGAGAAGCCTTCTCTCGTAGAAATTCGGAGCACCTAGCACAGCTATCGCAGGATTCCAAGTCTGCATCGACTCTACTTGCATTGAACGACATTTGTAAAGGCAGGAAATCCTCAAACAGTAGAAGGAAATACACCTGAATGTGAAGGCTTCAAAGAATAACGAGTACAAGGACACGGATCTACCATTGGAAGTGCTGGAATTCGAGCAACATAATGTTGGGTCGCTTGAAAAAAGGATAGAAGGTTCATCTATCTCCGTTCTGCAAATATTTTGTGATGCCGTCGCTTGGATGAAATTTCGTTACACATTGTTGTTTTTTGAATTTTTAAGTTCGTGCTATTGAACTGCTTCCTTATTGTTGACACTCCTATTTATCTGTTATGACCCTTCGAACAAAAGAATACCTAATTGGAAGAGCTTACACGAGAAATACTTCTAATTTCAATGGCATTATGTCTTGACCTTCCTACTGCCTACTCTTCTTTCGTACCAGGGTACTAGGTGAAGTACATAATTAAATGATCCTCCTTCTATTTACTGCCTACTCCTCTTCTATGGCAGGATATTATGTAAAGCACAACCAAAAAGATGCTGAGATATGAGAAAAGCTCGGAACCTCCGCTGAACATCGAGTCCGCGATTACCTTACCAGGTGTGGGCCCACGTGCTATCCACTAGATTTCGCTCATATCCCAACGTCCATGTGGTTGTAATTCATGTAATTTCTTGCCGTAAAAAGTAGGCAGTAAAAAAACTAAAGGTGAGGATTTTGATTCCAGGTTCAACTTAAGTGAATTAAATGCCGACTTGTGTTATCCAGATCATTTCACGGAAAATCGCTGAAGGTGCCGTTACGGTAAAAAACTGGCTGAAAGAAGAGCCAAGCATGGCTCTCGGTCGATATAGTCGATAGAAAGCCGGTAAAGATAATTACAAATTCATAGCCCATCTCATATTTCAATGAAATTAGTTTAGCTGGAAGGATTTTACCTGAGCTTGACCGACGAGATTCGACCATGAAGTCATAAAGCGCATGAAAAGCTGATCGTTTCATTATATCATGAAGTAACAAAAAGTATTGGGATCGTAAGTCATAAAAAAATTATTGAAGTATACTGAATAAGGGTAGACCGATCGGCGGTGATTAATTCCTAAGAGTGAGGCATGCATTTCACTTTATTCGTGGAATCGTTGGAGACGACTTAATGCATATCTACACAACGCAACGACTTGTAGGGGCCTGCCGATGTGTCAGATCAGTGTTTTGATTGTCCCAGCATTGCTACCAGACAAGTCTGGTAGAAACCGAAGATTTAATCAATATGATGCTGAGATGTTTGCAAAACTTAGACCCCAGTCCAGTTTCGGATCCGCGGTCACCCTTTCCGGGGATTCACATCGTACCCTGCTGGAAAGAATTATAATATTTAGTAAGCAAAAAGTGTAAATTGAGGATTTCGTTTGCTCGGGCTGTGACATCGAAGTAGACCATGTGAGCATTGTAGTAAACTTCCAAGCACTAGGTTTCACGCGTTTCTATAAATGTATTAAAAAACTTTGTGAGAGTTGATGATGCAAATCCAGTCCAATGGCGAGGTTAATAGGAAGTCGATCCTGGAAGTGTTGATGATGCAGTTTTGAAAAAAAAAAGCATTAGCAGAAGGGGCACCGGACAAAGCAGTAGAACAATTTTGATGGCACGTTTTTCAACTCTCTTGGTAAAAATCTGAGTAGAAAATATTTTTCCTGTCACCAAAGATTTTAGATAACGACTAAAATCTCGGTACCTTTGATACATGATATGAAAGAACACGTGTTTCGATTGATCGCAATTAGTAACGATGAGTTTAACTTTCAAATCAAGAAAAGACTGAAGAGAAGGAATAGAGAGAGTTAGGACTTAAATACCTACCTACTGTAGAAAATAATTAACAAGTTCGAACGTAATGATGCCATTTGATTTCATGAGAACTCCTACACTTGACATTCGCATCTTCTGAGAAAAGTCTGTACGATTACATCCGATTTTAAAAAAAAACGGAAATTTTCAGTGATACGTAACACGCAGCCTTGAAATTGCTTTCATCCCTCAGTGAAAAGATTAAAGCATGTTCGTCATGTTCTGACTGCTTCAACGGTCATTTCGTTAGGTCATCACTGAAAACTCGGCCATGGGCGCCATTGTCGAAGTGTCGCACTCTTCGCCTCACAAAGCGCTCAAAAATTCTATCTTTCATGAAGTTCAAATGCAATGCGCTAGTGCAATGTCATGCATGACTCTTGAGATGAACTAAATCAGACATAGGTGCCTTTCTGGTCACACTAGCTCACTGATTGTTTTTGATAAAGAATTTTCATAGTTTGAGTCTCATTTTCCTATTGATCTGAACATGCAGTTGACTTGAGCTAACTACGTGTTGACTGAATGTGATATGACTGACCAATAAATTGCTTAACTATGCATAAGATCGATCAACAACTTGAAAGCTCTACGTGTAGGAGAGTAGATCTAGAGAACCTTCCAATTTTGGCACTTTGCTGAGTGAAACTACGAACACTTAAATTCTCGATTTGGTATCTTATCCAGCGAATTTGGAACAACAAGATGAGATTGCATTTTAACACATATTTAAAATTTACTCCCATTCAACGGATGAGCGTCGATTCATGAACATATGCAAAAAGTCCCGAAGTGAAGAAACTAACGTTTCGCAGATTCCTCTTTCTTCGGCCTGAAAAATTATAGTTACTTGCAGCAAAATGGGCGAATAGCACAGTGGTGGTGATGTCGATCACCACGGGCGTGAGGGTAGTTCGATTCCTCTCCGGGCCAACCAAACCTGTCACCCCTACAGGGAGGGACTTGGCACCAGACTCGTCTGGGAAGAAATAATTCTCTGCAATCCAATTGGGAGCGCTCTATCCCGGCTACCTCAGGATTCCAGGTAGAAATGCTCGACCAGCATTCTACGACATTCAAGATGAAATGAAAATCCTCAACGTGCAACCGAAGCCACACGCAAAGTTGGAAGATGTTCGTGGACATTGGAGGCAAGGAAACGAATCGATCGTGAGAAATGCAGGGATCCGCACAGTAAACGTGAAGGCCGGTCATATAAAAAACTGCAACATAGTCAATCAAATAATTTCGCAATCTCGACGGAAAAACCGCGATAGCTAAATTTCAGTCGCATTAGATATAAACAGCTTTTTCACAGAGTCACTATTTCTTATGGGTCTTCCACTGAGTATCTCACGTGAAGATCAACCGTAGAGAGCTCACATAGGTGAGTAAATGAACCCCTGTCATACTAAAATATCAATCCGTGATATTGCCTGAGATCTCGCGTGACAATGAGCCATTTCTCTCTTGGGTTCATTGTTAGATTGTTGGAATTTCTCCACAATGCTTCGAAGATTTCACGCGCTGAGGTTTTAGGTTTGTGAGAGTAGATGGTAACTTCTAATGCAAAAATTCCACAGGTATGTCGGCTTTCTATGTGCGCCTAATAGAGTGTTGTTTAACCTTAAGTTTTCCTATTAAGTGTCCTTGAATACGGATGCAGAGTGACCTCTTCGTATTGCCAACTTATTTGTCCCATCGCGCTTTACAAAAGATCAGGTATTTCAGTTCAAGATTTTATAGCGGTACGTATTTAATTAGAAATGAGGGGCAGGATAAACGAGATATTCGTCCTAGGATTACCATTTGTTAACTTCGCAAATTTTTCTCCAGATACATATCCGAGGAGTTACAGTTTCGTAGCCACTGAAGTGGCCATTTGTTGAGCCAATTTCAAGGATTCTTTCTTTTGATCTCTTCGTATGCACACACTGGTAGCTGTTAGAAGCATTTTTTAACAAACGTTCTTTTCAAGCTTGAAAGGCAAAAAAGGAGATAGTGGGCCAGTACGTTTTTTGTTACTTGACTTTAAATACTATTTGGTTATGTAGCTGCTCTCAGATAGGTTAATTTGATAGTTCAAAACAGAAGCCAGTTATTCTTCAGGTTCTTCCGAGTGAAATTTATGCACTATCACTGTTCGTTCAATAACTCAAAGTGTTTGCCTATCTCTTTCGTGTATACATCTACATTAGTGTACTGGCCGAAATCGATCACTATGCTTCGACCTTAGACATTAAGGCAATGGCAAGGCTTGGCGGCAATCGATGTCCCATTATCAACCTTCTCATATGTGGCTACTACTTCCATCTAAAGGTTAAGCAGTTTGGGCACTCTTTTAAGGCTGTCATTAAATGCTGGACCGTTAAACCACACATGATTGCTGCTCCTTCGTCTTGTGTAAGGAGTTCGAGGATGGCTTGCCTAGCGGAGTCACTCAACACGTTTGTATAAAGCGCGTGAACGTCAAAGTACTTCATCACATATGTGCTCTTACGACGCGCGTAAAATAGGCAGTCCAGAAATATGTATTCTTTCTTGATAAGCTTACACGAGGTTGATAAATATATTTATTTTCGGCTAACGTTTCGACGTCTTCGTCTTCCTCAGAGCCGGCGATCCGAGTCGATGGTCCATGCTTGTTGTTCGCCTCGACGTTGCGTCTTCGCCTTCCTGTCGAGCCAGATCTTCCTCAGCGAGCCATCTTCTCGAATGAGGCATCATCACTCAGTGATTAGTCACACCGAGGTTTAGGGAAGGTCGGTTTCGAAATATTACTGCGCTTTTTGCTAGCTGATAATACACCGACCTCTGCACGATGCACGCAATGATGTATGTCCGGAAGAAATACAAGTTGTTACCACCGGACATTGTCATTATATATCCACCATCAGCATCGTGTATAAAAGGGCATCACTGAGTGATGATGCCTCATTCGAGAAGATGGCTCGCTGAGGAAGATCTGGCTCGACAGGAAGGCGAAGACGCAACGTCGAGGCGAACAACAAGCATGGACCATCGACTCGGATCGCCGGCTCTGAGGAAGACGAAGACGTCGAAACGTTAGCCGAAAATAAATATATTTATCAACCTCGTGTAAGCTTATCAAGAAAGAATACATATTGATTAGTCACACCGAGGTTTAGGGAAGGTCGGTTTCGAAATAGTCCAGAAATATTTTCGTGTTCATAAGAATGGCTGAAATATACTTTAGCAATAGGCAGGTAATAAAGTTAGAAACCGTGTTATTCTACTTGTTACACCTCAGCCTGACTTCGGACAACGATGATTAAGTAGACGCGTGATCACTTGTAGGTGTGCGCTTTTATTTGTACTAACTTGTGGCTATAAGCATAAGACCAGACATGTTGATAATTCAATTTTTAGTTTAGAAACAACCAAGGGTTTTAAATTTGCCACTTTTGCCATGACCCGTCCGTTGTTCAGTCGTCGGTGCTCACTTTTGAATTCTACTTTCCCTAATCCCAACATTTTACTGGCGAATAATCTCCACCAACTTTCCACTTTCTCATTAATTGATGGCCTAATAGGTTTTAACTTTATTAGCTCTTGGATCTATAGCATGCCACTTCACTTTAAACAGCACTGTAAGGTAGGAACTAAACGTTCCCTCGCGATAATGTTTGAGGATTTTGGAAGTTTGGTCTGAAAGTGCGCGAAAATTAATATCTACTTCACCGCTGGCGTTTTGTTGTGCAAAGAACAATGAAGGAAACTGCATTAGTTGTAGTTCCCGTTACTCCTATTGTTCATTCCTATCTAGTGTTTCAAATCTAGCTTTGTTAGGGAATCGATACTGAAGTTCATGGCAACTACATTCGGCTGTACGTATGGATACCTTAAATATGGGTTCAGTTGACGAGAAACTTGTGCTTAATTCTGATAGCAAGCGCACACTGTTAAGGGAAACAGTGCTTCCTAACACGGTAACCCTTTAATCTTCTTGCATATTATTTACCTTGTCTTGACTGCTCTGATTTTCGCAAGCGGTGTGCTATACATTCACAAAGACAAGTTGTGCTCAATAAGTCTTTTAATTTCCTCCTTAAGATTACTTTAGTATTCGCTCTAACAAAATCACAAGTCAATATTGAGCCGTCCTCTACATAATCATACCCATCTATCTATTCATTATTATCCTTTGATGGAGATCCTTCTAAAACTGGACTCAATGGTATTCTCTCGATGCACACCTGTTCAATTCAACGAACAGCTCGTATTTCAATGTACAGAACTTGATAACTGTCCTTTAGTAGACCCCATGCATCATGTAATCATCTTTATTTTGTGAGGTTCAGAAAGGCTCAAGCGGCGGAGAACGTGTGTTGCTTGTTTGACTAAGATAACTCTTTCCTGTTAGTGACACGCTTTCTTTGCAAATCGGGAATATTTTACTAGTACATCACATTTTCTTTTTGCGAGTAAAATACCAGTATGGTCGTTAAAAGGAGATATATCGCTTAGTGTTTGTAGATAAATCATATGAATTTTTGCTGTCATTTTCTACGTAATCTATTCTAAAGGTAAGTAATACTTATGAACTGCCCTTTTTGAGCTGAAGCGACGTTTGTAACAGTTGCTGCTGTGATTCTATGGCTGGTTAAAATTACAATTTTAACCGTTTTATTTACTGCCTACTCTCTTTAATGGCAGGGTATATTGCGAAATATAACTGCAACGATGCTGAGATATTTACAGAAGTCCGGACCGCAGATGTCTGCGCTAAGAAACGAACGCGATATTGTCCTTTCCGGAGAGTAACGCCTTCACCACCACACCATGCGTGTCCTTCGTTTCGCCTGTCTCTCAGCTAGTTCTATCGATCTCTGCCATCAGCAATCACCCGTCAGCGGAACTTATCTGGGGAGCCCAACCGCAGACACCTGTGGCCCGGAGTTTTGCAAATATCTCAGCATTAAAAAGTTATATCTCAGCATCATTGAAGTTCTATGGCTAGTGTTTCAGCGACATCGTCTTCTTCGGAGCCAGGACACATTTTATGTAACGATGTCCAATATAATGCATTCACTTTTTATTTATTACTATTCTTTCTTCATGGAAGGGTATGATGTGAAATGATGCTGAGATATCCATAAAAATCTGTGAATTATCTATGGTACCAATGAAGATTTAACATACAAATAATTGCATCTTCGCTTGAAAATTACTCACTGTGCTATAGCGAGTGAACCACCCATGAACCACATGTGTCCTTCACGTGAGCTGACGAGTGAGACCCATCCCGTCGGAAAACCAAGTTGAAAAAGGGCTGCAGGTCACGTGTGATAGTGTGGCAATCGTGTTTTCATCTTTGGGCTTTTGGAAAGTATCCAGAGCGGCTCGAGAGCCTTGCGCGTTGATGTTTTTGATTGCTGCGCTTGGATCCGGACAGTCACTTCAAAATCACCACCGGTATGCTTCTGTGCCTTATGTGCACCTAAAGGAGCACTTTGGTGACTTTTAATTTCCTCATATGGACATTTTTTATACGGCAAAAATTGATCTATAGGACAGACTTCATAATTTTCTGAGCTGCACGTGCAAAAATAGAGGCTGTTGCGAGCTCACTGACTGCGTAGAGTATTGAGTAGGAGGTCACTAACCGCACATAATTCTCAGGAACAGTTTTCTTAAACTCCTCTTAATGGTGCAACTTATTTCGTTTGATATGAAGGGTAGCTTGAAAGGAATCTTACTTAGGTTCGAAACACTTTTTTTGGGAACAACCCTGAGCTTTTTTCTGACCCGAGTGGCTTTTACTTCTTACCCATTGAAAATGGCTATTTTTCATGCCAAATTTAGCAATTTTTTCCTTTCCTTTCTTTTTGTACACACACTTTTAGCCGTTTGGTGCACGTTTTTTATATTGATTGCATTTTTTATGTGTGAAGGATGAGAGTAGAGATAGTGCGTAAGTATATTTTTAGTACTTGACTTTCCATATCATTTTGTGGTGCAGCCACTTTTACAACCATAATGATGCTGAGATATTTGCAAAACTCGGAAGCACAGGTGATTGCAGTGGGCATAGAACACGATATTATACTTTTGGGAGCTAGCGCGTTCACCACGACACCATGCGCTTCGCCTCGCCTTTCTATCGGTTTAATTGCGGCCAATGCCGATCCTTATTACCCAGATCAACCCCGCTGACGGGCGGTTGCTGATGGCATTTGTAGATAAAAAACTAGCTGAGAAAAAGGCGAAAATAATGACCTGCATGGTGTAGTGTAAATGCGTTAGCCCCCGGAAAGGGTTATAAAATGTTCGTTCTCCACCGCGAACACCTGAGTTCTGGAGTTTTCAAATGTCTCATCATCATTGTGGTTGTATTTCACGTAGCACCTTGTCATGAAAAATTGTAGTAGGCAGTAAATAAGGACTTAGCTTGGCCACTTTTAGTTATTCCAAAGATGTTCAGGCTCATCGTATTCAAAACTTTCTCGATACTGCTGTCGGTTCACTTGGATTTTGCCCAATCTCCAGCGTATATGATATGGCTCATCGAATCGGACAAATACATTTTTACAGGTTTGCTATTACCAATCAGTTACTAATAGCAGATGATATTTTCGACGAATACACGGTAGTTAGCCTCCTTATTAAGAATAACTGTGTTCTGTTATGTTTGCCAGAAAATCCCGAACAAAAAAAAGAGATTATTGACTTACACGAGTAGTGCAGGTTCATGTTTCCTCCATAGACGTCTAATGACGGTCAGAACTCCTGGTGTATTAATTTCGCTATTTTTCTATATTCATGTAGCAGTTTTCAATGTTTTCTGATTAGATATGTGTTTCTAACATAGAGGAGTCAACTTTGGAGCTGACAACTGGCTTGTTTTTAAACGAATTACTGTGGATCAGGTAACAAGTCAAACAATGAAGTACATCAACAACGAAAATAATGACTCCAGCACTACTGACGAGAAGCAAATAGATATTCCGGTGGGCGCTTCAGCTTATTGGAATCTCTGTTTATTTATTTACGCCACGAAATGGAATTTTACTTTTCATTTTAGGACATAACGAGCCAGTACAGTGGTGAGAATTGCCTAGCTCGTCTTGGATGGAATAAACTAATGACTGTAATTGTACGAGAAATGAAAAGAGGTTAGGAAACTTATTCTAGATTTTAAAAGAATTAACGGAAGCCAGTATAACTGAACCGTTTTAATGAAATAAAGAATAAAGTAGAACCTCGTATTTGCTTAACAAGAATGACGAGAATTATAACAGGTTTCCTGGAGGAAGCTATGCGAAACTGTAAAGAGGAGGATAACAACGATCTGCTAGGCAATTAAGTAATCTGCCTTATGAACTTGTACACTTAGCAGTAGTGTGCATTGGCTTTTGCTGTCAGATTGTGGTATGCACATTTATTTATCCCAACTTTTGCTCTCTTTTGTGCACGATGTGATTTAGACCCATCGAATTCTTTCCATTCGCTGCTAATAGTAACTGGTTCAGTTTTTATTCATGCGCGAAGGTTGAGCTTCACATCAATTGCTAAAATAAAATTTTCTTCAACAAGAGCACACTGTACACTAGGTGTTTAGTAATATGGGATTTTATACTGAAATTCTTTATGAACGAATATTCGGATAAATAAATTGTTTTCTTTTACAGCTAGTGCTTTGTAGTGTGTTGGTGTATGTGAGGTGAACACTGCGTCATGAGAGTCCTGAAGCAACAAAAAGTGTATGTCAGATTTCTGTAGTTCGACTGTGAAGGCTTTTCATCATTCCATTGGTATTAATTCTTATTATCATATAAAAGGTTTATTCACTAGTTCATGGCCAGCTGCATGAAAATTATAATTTTCATCTTCAGTACCGACAACGATTAAAAAAGGATGGAATAAGGTTGGTATGAAACTTAACGATCAAAGAACCTCAAAGCTACCATAATAAATAGGTGAGCATTCGAAAAGATTCGAAGGACAATGTGTAGAATTCAGTAGTTGACAAAAGGCGCAGGAATCCAACCTGTTCTAAAATTCAAGAAAGTTCAATTATTCGGCTTAAAAACTTCATCACGCATTTATGGCAATTTTAGAAATGGAGTAGTGATTTTAGAAATGGAGTAGTGATCAGCGGATAAATTTATGACGGTTTGCTCATATTTTCTCGAATACCTTTAAACTATAGAAGTTTTCGGTGGACCTTTTAAGTTAGAGTGTTCCGGTGGAATAAATTTCCTGTATTCTCTTTAGAGAGGTGTTCAGCGTAGCGTCAAAAGGCCATTTAATTTAACATTTTCAAACTCGGTCACTAAAAATGTCTAAGATGATCGATTCATTGTTGACCCAAAAACGATAAAACCACTCCTAATTAGAAATTGCCGTAGATCAATTTTCCAAGATTATGGGTTGAGTTTTCTATATGGTCTTCAAGATATTCGCAGGATTCGCTGCTATCCGCTGTCGTGAATGCATAGTTTTAGTCGCGAAGCAGTAAACAGCGCTGCAACCAAAAATGCCCGGCAGCTGCCTGTGGCGACGATCCGGGAACGCCTTAGCTCGGCAGTCTGGAAAAAAAGGCAGTTTTGGAACAATAATAGCGCTCGATTGGCATCCACCGTGGGAATAAGGAGATCGGACAACAGCTCTTGCATTCTAGCCAGCCGCCTATACACTCGAATACAACCATCTCCACAAATAATGGTTACGCAACAACGAAACGTTTGCAGGAAGTGCTGACATCCCAGTGACCAATGTCAAAATATGATTTTCTTTGTATAAACTGGAATTTCTGACCAAAAGGCCATTAAGCACAATGCTCAGCACTTCTCAGTAAGTGACACAGTAAACAAAACTGCTTGTATTTCAATTCTTCGATAGAGATCATTGCAGATGGCCAGGTGTCCATGAACATTGTTAACGTTAACTGCTTGGTGTTTCATTAGTGGCTTTAGGAAATGAATAGCAGTTTTGCCTCTTATATTAGATTAATTCTGCTTGGATGGGTTCAGTTTACTTGGTTAAAAAATTCGTGCAAATCATATTCATAGTCCACATTAGCCTTATGTCAAAAATGTGCCTTGAAATTTGCACTCATGTGAAACTAGGTTGCTTTTATGGCTCCAATAAAGAAATGAAATATGCCTTAAACTATAGCATTAATGTGAACAGTAGTTCGATGGATATCACTGGTAATAAATATACTCCAACTAATTTAACAAAAAACTACAAGTAGTAACAAACTGGGGCGCGTGTGGCGCAATGTTCGAGGGAGTTCTGCAATACACACGAGATCGATTTCCGCACCCCTGGCCCACCAAGCTTTTCATCCCTCCGAGTCTGCATAAAAGACTTGTCTGGGAGGATAGTAGCACTGACTCGTTACATCGGCAGGACACCGCGAGTCATTGTAAAGGCCAGATATGCATTCAATCACCTCCAACGATACTTAATGAAGTCGAGCGCATCCCTCAGGGATTGATCAACGCCGAGAGTTTTATCTTTTATTCTTTATGCCAATAAGAATGTAAAGGCTAACATAAGGTGTCAAGGAAACACACTTTATAAATGGTGCCTTCAATGGGTCAAGTGCAGAAAAAGCCAGCTGGATGAACACGGTAACTTGTTGCTTTTTAACATATAGATTGAGATTAAGACTGGAGGGATTTTGATATCATAAATACTTAAATTTAACAAAATCCAGAAAGAAGTGCCCGACCTTTGTGAATCGGTGTCCTTGACAAAAATCCAGCCTCGTGAGCCGTTTTTGATTAGCACCACCTGAAAGCTGGAGACTGTCAAAGCGAAAGTTGTGCTTCAATAAAGGCCATTCATCTCATCCATTTCAGTTAAGGAATCTTCAAAGCATTGGCAACTCCACCATTTTTTCAACAAAGACCGATAATTCTTTAGCAACTAGAGCAGTTAAAAAATTTAAAACTCGACAAATTTACGGAATCTCTTCTTCCTTATCCATTCAAAATTTTTCTAAAGCAGAAGTCTTCAAAGGTTTGCTGAAGGAATTTTATTTTTTGATTTTTTCTATGGAACCATGGAAACTGGACATTAACGATCCTTTCCACGCTATAATCGCTTCCAGTTGTCCAAAATTGGGGTTCCTTTATCGCTTCGCTGGTCAAATCAGTCTTGGGGTTCCTTTATCGCTTCGCTGGTCAAATCAGTCTTAAAGAAAAAAGAAAGAAGAGAGTTTATAAGCTTCAAAAAATTACGATTGTTGTATAATGGAGCAAATGTACTTCAGTCGTTGACAAAAAAGTGTGGAACAGCTTCAACAAACACCGTAGAGGTGAATAGGTGCACCTATGGCATTTACAATGAATTTCGAGGGCCCACCAATGTTTCAAAACAGTGTTTTCATCCCTATAGATGATAAATTCTTGTGCCATTTTACCGGCCTTGGATGGACGAAGGACTTGCTTTGCTCAGAAAAGGGGGTTGAGCGAGAAACCACACGCATTGTAGTGCCCCTACAACCATCAGGGTGAACGCATTCAAGGAAAAAGGATACAGTTTTCAATTATTAGAGTCGAATGCTAAAAATAAATGACATTGTAACCTTTTGTTCATGGTGTGCCTAAAATTAGAAAAAAGAACGAAAACCACTTTGCTTTTCATTTACTGTGCATTACTACTTTTTCACGGCACGGTACTATGTTAAACTCAACCACTATTGGGATATGTGTAAAACTTGAACCTCAGGCCAGATTTGGAGCGGCGTTTACTCTTTCCTGGGGCTCACGTGTTACCCGCAGTACCACTGATGCTCCCTCGCTTTGCCTTTCTCTCAGCTAGTTTTCTACCTACCGGTGCCATCAGTATTCATCTATCAGCGGGAAGAAAATCAGTTTAGTTCAATGCAAGTACCTTGCTTCCAGGATAAACAGTAATTTGTTCCCCTGATGTCGCATTGAACTGCTCTTTGACCGTTAATGTCCTGCCATAGTCACTGTTGTTGAATAACGGTGGAACTTCGTCTACAAATTGCTGATTATGTGATACAAAGCCCTTAACCTTCATATTTGAGGAAAATGTGGTAAATATTTCTCCATTTTGATAGGGTCAACCTGTTGGTTTCAATTACGACTACAAACATGCAGAAGGAAGTTTTAATCCGCATCTTGAATGAGAGGATTCGTGCAATTTCATTGCCGTTTTCATCTGCCTTCATTTAAAGATGAAATATTAGAGAGAAAAGCTCGAGAGGCCAAATGACGTCTACCTTTATAAGAAAACATGAATTAACCGTTAATGGAAATTTAAAGAATATAGATGGTGAAACTCATTAATTAGTTATATTAAACCATAAAGTCACTTAAAGTTGCAGTCTGATAACAAGTTACATAATTTTGACCACGCAGACATCAAAATAACACTCATTAAAGAATTCTTCGTATTTTTGTTGAGCAAATGCGAGGTGTTATTATTCTTTACTCACGAATAAGCTGACGTTTCGGCGGATTTCGCCTTCCTCAGAGCCTGGAAAGGTCAAGTTGATAGCAATCTACTCGGCCAGACGCCTCCATAACCAAACAAAGAAACCCCAAACCAAGATTTCAATCACTTTGAACACAGCTTTGCACACTCACCGCTTCCTATGAGGTTTCCACTAAGTATGTCACGTAGAGACCGACCGCACAGAATTCACATGGAAGCATAATGTGCCCCTCTCATCAGAATAGCAGTCTTATATACTGCCCTATATCACGCTTGATAATGAGGCATTCTTCCCTGCGGTTCATTTTCGGATTTCTGGAATTAATCCAGAATGCCTAGAGAGTTTTTCGCACGTGTGTTCTTGATTCGTGTGCGAGGATCGTGACACATACTTCAAAGTCCTCCCCGTTATGTCTCTGGGTCCTATGCGTGACTAGCGGGGTATTTGGTCTATGTCTGCCGGTTAGGTGCTCTTTTATGCGGACACAGAGGGGTCTATCCGTTTCGCCAATGTATTCGTCTCCGCACGCCTTACAGGAGATCAGATAAACTACACCCGAGCTCATGCAATCACCGTCTCTACCACTGGGGCAAATTATGCAATTTTGAGTTGCACATAGACGGTCATATAGGCGGTTGCGAACTAGCTGGCGCTTAAGATTACTCGGTGGTATTTCAACTACGCTCACCGAATTCTCTAAGCCCGCCCTTCTTAAGCAGCGT